GCATCCTTGAACACTGAAAATTTAAAATCCATGAGCACAGAAGCTAAAGAGATGATCAGACCTTTTCAGCCAGTCATCCAGAATGCAGTATTAATTTGCTGCTCTACCAAACCCTGAAATGCCATCCTTAATAGATAGGGAGTGATTTGCTAAGTTTGCTGTTATTTGCCTGTGGGATTTATAGAGATAACAGCAAGATGAGATAGAAGTAACACTTGAACCTATAATATCTTTTCTCTCTGAGCATTTGAAAGCACTTTACAAATAACAGTGATCTTTCACTGATGCACTGTATGCCAAGAACAAGATCAGCTCAGGAAGATGGACAAAGAACCACTGCTACTCTCCTGCTTAGCAAACGCAACAGGGAAGAAACAAGAACAACCCTTTCTGTGACTGCTTTTCTTCATGAGTATTTGTTTTAGAGAACTCCCTGTAAAATGATTAAGAATAAATGATGCACAGAGATACTATTTTTCCTTATCATAGAAAAGATCTTCCCATTGGGCCAGTATTGGCACTCTACAGCAGCAATGCTTCCTATAATCCCCAAAGCCACATTTTCAAGTTGCTGACACTGAGCAGCAGATCTGATTTGTTTCGTGTAACAAAGACAGCATAATTTAAGTTGCCATGTGAATCGGGAATTAATCCCACACACAAAGAGATATGCAATACCTTTTATTTAGCTTTGTGCACTGGAAGTGTTCACAATACTGAAAGCTACCAGTGAAGAAAAATACATATTGTGCCATTTCTTTGAACACAAAAGACATTCCTTCAGGCTATGATTATCAGAATGGATGAGTCCATATAAAATATGTGCTTATTTTTATAGGTTTAAAGAAAACATCTGCAATGTGGCTGCATTTCTAGATCTTTTGTCTTATTTGGCATTCACACAAACATAGGGCTTAATGAATATCCAGTCTGCTGCTGTATCTCAGGAGAAGCATTATGTTGTAGCAGTGGAACCTCAGCAGATATCTCAGTTACCTGTGAGCATACACGTGCAAGACTGCAGATCTCCATATTCACTCTCACCAGGGCTGCCTTTAGAAGAACTTCATTTGGGCAGTGGTTAGCCAGCATTTCCAAATGACCCAGTTCCTTCCTGAGGGATGATTCCTGAAATCACTTCATGCAGAGGCAGTGATCCTTACATCTTAAAAAATACTTGAAAAAGAACACCAAATTCAATACTGCATTTATCTGTCCAGATTTTCTGTGCTGGCTCATAAATGCTATACACTGAAGAGAAAATTCATTCCTGGCATTTCCTATCAAATAAGGGTTAATGACTTCTATGTTGGAGAAAATATCTAACAAGCAGCTTCAAAAGTCCTTCCACCAGTCCATTCCTCGCCTTTTTTTACTTTAAGAATATTAGTCTTTGCCCACCCTTCCTACTGGCAGCAAGGGGAGGCAACAGGGAATCTCACAATGGGAACAGCCTGATCGAATTGCCGCCTTCTTGCTCGCCTTTGAGCAAAACCCTCTCTGAACCCATAGGAGGACAGGCTCTTCTCCTCAGATGTTCTGAGAGCTTCATTACATCATTTCCTCTCCTGGAGCAGTGCCAGCGTTTCCCTTTCCTCCTTCTTGCAAGGATATTCCCTATGTCTAGCCTCCCATAAGGGAGATGCTGGTGACTGTGCTGGGTGGGGAACAGTGTGGCAGTGATCCACAGTCATAACCTTCTGCATAGGTGCCCACAGCACTCTGCAGTATCACGGGGAGCTTTTGTGGAGTGCAAATCCTTCCTGAATCCTGGTTATCTTGCACGAAGCTTTGCAGAGAAGGAGCCCTCTGCCCCCTCACCATGCACAGACGCTCTGACTCACTGGACTCAGGATTCCCATCTGGATGTCTCTTTGAGAGATGGGTCCAAGCCAAGGAGTTAGTCTATTCTTAGCCCTATCTCCTGTAAAGATAGTTTTCCCCACAAAAATCTTCCTTTCAGGCATTTCAGAGAACACCTGTCTCCAAGCAAATACAGCAGCAGGAGCAGTGTGAATCCTGTTCCCTGCTCATTTTAATGAGGTGTTAATATCAGAGGCTGACAGAGATTATGTAAGTGCTAACACTGCTAAGCAAAACCGTGGAAGAAACAAAAATAAATGGAAGGCAAATAAAGTGAACCCTATCACCACCAGTGCCAGCTGCAGGAGCGGGAATGGTACTTGGAGGCAGAAAAACATTCTTGCATTTATTGTGCCCCAGAAATGACGCCAGATGCTCTCCAGCTTTCCGACCAGCATCCTTTCATCTCCACCCCCGCGGCTCAGACTGGTGACGGAGCCACATAGCCACTCTACTGCCACCTCCTCTGCACCCCTGTCCCCTGATTCCTGCAGGAGTTCGGCACCTGGCAGCAGCAAAGCAGCAAAGAGGGGAGCCAGAGGGGGCAGTGTATATTAAAAAACAGCCGCAGTGCCTCTGAAGCAGTACGGAACAAGACTGTGCAATCAGCGGCTTGTGCACCCATGTGATCTTGTCGCTGCGAGCCAAGGTTTTCAGAGGGAACTGAAAGGAATGAAACACCCACTAGATTCTGCTTCGGATCATCTGAAAAGCTCAGCTGTTTCCCTCAGCCTCTTCTCTTCATATTTTACATTTGCTCATCGTGGTATTTCTCCACGGAGCTCATGGGAAGCCAGGCTCATCGCCAGATCTGTTTGTACACAGTCCCAGGGTAGGCTTGGGTTACTGGCTAGCTTCGTTGCGTCCTGGCATTCCCTGCATCTTAGGGCAGTGAGCTTCCAGCAAAAGGCTGCTATGGCAGGCAGGGTCAAGCAAGCACAGATGGGATCAGCTCTGGTTGTAAATGTTTCTGCAGGCTGCTACCCCCGCAGGGTGATGGGGAGCACCCGGAGAGGTGGTGTTCTGCAGTTCCAAAGGACAAAATGTGAAGGCTGAAAGAGGAGAGGAAAAGAAAGGAGAAATCTTCTCCACTACAAGGTAAAGACAAAGAAAAATAAGTCTGTACAAATAAGGGGAAACAACAGCAATACATACCTGTGTATCTAATAGTTCCTGTGCTGGGCTTGTAAGAACATCCAGGTTCATTGAGTTTCTGGTCTCTTGGATCTGCATGACAAATACCTGAGTCTTTCCCTTTCCCACGGGTGTACCTTACAGCTTACTCCAGTTTACGATAGGATCTCTGGTTGGTGCTGCGTCAGCCAAGGTTTTCCTGTAGGGCTGTTTGCCACCCACACGTGCTTCCTGTGGAAGCAGCAGTCAGTTGAGGTACAGAGACACATGAGGGGCACACGGAGTGGGAGGTTGCAGTGCTGGGGCAGCAGCTCCAAAGCAAAGCGACAGACTCCTGGAGAGAAATCAGCTCTTCCAGAACCTGATTCTTCTTTTCCTCATGCAGATGTCTCAAGATCAGTAAAAAAAACATGCCTTCTCTCTGGCTACAGAGGGAGGCCATCTGGCTGAGACAAGAGATGCGGTAAGCACTGAAGTTAGGTGAAATGAATCCCTTTGCATCTTTAGAAATGAGGACAGTTCCACTCAGGGTCTTCACATAGGGCCCTTACGTGTGGAGACAGCTCTGTGTGACACCCATGTGTGCAGCTTTATACCAATGTGCATGTGAATCATCCTTGAGATGATGTGAGCAATTCCCTTAATCCCAATGTGGGATTGTAGCACTGTATCATTTCAGTACCTAAAACTGAGTGAAAGCATCAGATTCCTCTTCAGTATTCAGCAGGATAACGCCCAGAATACTTTGGGAGGAGTTGCAGAGCCTCCGTGTAACACTAGGCCTCTTCTAGAAGTCAAGCATGTGCCACAATTTCTTGTCTCCTTTTTAGCACAAACTGCCCTTGATTAGTCATCGACCTGGTTTAGAAATTGCACTGCTACCATACAAGAAGGGTGTAAGTATTTAAATATAATAGGCTGCGATCATTTTAAAACTGGCCTAGATCTAAGCCCACAGGGGGCAATAACTAATTTGATGGAAGTTGTAACTTCTAAATAGATCTAGCTGAGACCTCTCCAGAGTTCAGCTGTGGGCTTCACTGTTCCGGCACTGAACCTGAGCTGAGTGCCCTGACTGCTCCACAGCTCTTTGCGACAAATCATGGCCCATCTGGGGTGCAGCAGAGCAGAGCTTCCCAAAGGGCATCCTTGCCCATCGGAACCATGAAGCACATAACGGGAGGCAAGGAACTATGTTTTTGACTCCAAAATCATTGAAAAACTGCATTTCTGCACAATTTGGAGTCAAAACCATATGCAGCTCCATGGTTTTGGCTGCGTTTTGCCTTGGGTTTTTTCCAGCTAACTTCAACAGTCGCTGATCCAAAAGGTAGGAGTAAGTAAAGTCACCGCATGTTTTAAACCATTCCTCCTATAATGGAATATGCAGAATGCGAATCCTGTTTTTAATGTCGTAAGTGCTTCCCACCTTTCACTTCTTCAGCTTTGGCAAAGTACACCTGCACACTCAGAACTAAATATTGGCCTTTTATCAGCAAGTGTAGCACTGTCAAGCAAATAGATATGTGTATCTGCAGTGAGTTTGTTTGCATTAGCAGATATTACTTCTTCACATTAGCTGGTACTCCTGCGGCCTCTCAACCAGAAATCACAGGTGCTGTCTCTGTATAAATACTGAACAAAACTTTGGCTGATGGTTGATGGCACTTAGGAGCTGCTGAACTAGAATTGTCACTGTTCATATGGTACCAGAACTGAGATTTCCTTGCCCATCTCTGTTATCTGCTGAAGTGGAAATCAGCCATTGCCTCAGGCTCTTTTTCAGATTTCATCTCCTTCAAATCTCATCTCTTTGCTCTCCAAAAAAGATTGCAATGAAAGCTTTGAGTGAGGATGTTATTGCTACTGTATTTGCCTCCAAAATCACATTGCCATTTCTGTATCATACTCTAAGTGCTATGAAACAATGGTAAAAGGAACAGTACAGCAAGTGGTAGTGGTGCTGAATTCTAGGATCATCTTTATTCATCACAGGCAATAATAAGACATTCACTCTGAATCCAGTGCTATACAAATGACTGAACACCCAAATGTAGGTGAAGCTCACCTGTAAAAATGCAACAAATATCAAGAACAATCTATTTGCTAATCACCTTTCTTCCATCAGATGAAAGCAAAAATGTTTACTAGTTCATGCCTCTTCCTCACAGCACTGCCAGTACTGCAAAGTCTACAATCATTATCACAGAATGATGATCATCATATCATAATGATACCATCATTATTCACAATTCCACATTCCCCTAGATCCTGCTCATTAGAACTGTATCATTCTCTTTCTTGCCCGAAGGGTAGGAATAATGTTCAAATCTTGAACATCTTCCCCAGGATTGGAGAGCAGAAGGGATGTGGCTTGCTTTGTGCGCAGATAGGGTTAATTTTTTCCTCCTTCCTGCATTCTTTCATTCAGTCATCCCAAGGGGAAGTGTCATATTACCTCACCTCTCATTCCTAGGTTTCTAAGTTAGACCTGGATTTGAATTTCTCTGGCATTAGAGGAGTTGCGTTCAGTATTGTTGTTTGGGTCCATCTTGCAAAGGAAGGTGGTACGTTCATAAGAAGGGAGTTTGATTTGCTTATTCCAGTTCCAGCCCATCTCATTTTGAGCAAATCCTGATGTTTAGCCTCCCCCCCTTTTGTGCAGCAGGAATATACTGAGACAAATCACTGCTTTAAAGAGGAAATAAAGCATTGCCTTCGCATGGGAGGATTTCTGAAGACAGAAAGACAGGGTAGCTAGCACTGCAGCCTTGCCCTGGCTTGTCTACACATGAAAGTTGCTTTAGAATAAGCTAAGGATTGAATGTAAAGCAGGGTAGGCATTCCACAACTGCTGTGTGTGTTGCTGAGATCTCAGCAGAAGCAAAGAATCAGAGTAGCCGCATGCTGAATCCGTGGGACTGCCCCAAGTGAAGACTTAGCTATATCCAGCAGCAAGAAACAGGCAAGGGTTTTGAGGACTTTGTATGCAGGATAATAGACACAAAAGCAGAGTGAATTGTTTCAAACTGGTCAGAATTAAATAAGTAATTGGGTTGTTTGTTTGTGTTTTTTTTTTCCCTGACTATAAACTTGAAGCAATGATACATCTCCAGGACTTCTTTCCTTCACCTTTCAAGTCCTTGTCTTGGAGTAATATGAGACAGCAAGAAGAAAAGGCAGCTTCAGACCACTTTGTTCTCCTCTGGATAGCTTCATTTTTCCCTTCTCCCCCTCCATCCCTCTCTGCTGTCTGCTGCAAAACAGAAGGGAGGCAGCCACATGGACACAAATCCCATCTTGACGATGCTGGCTCCTGATGGTGGCCTTTCCCAGTGCCACCTCTGCCTCTTGCAGCAGTGGGCATCTTCTCTGAAAATAGATTCTGGTAAACAGTTGGACTGCCTGAACTGTGAGACTCCCACTAACACATCCAATTGGCTGATAGCAACACCCAAATTTAATGCTCCTTATTGTACCCTCAGTTGCTTGCTTCGATTAAAACTCTCTTCTGTGTTGACATTGTTCTGCTGCACACCACGGAAGCAACACTTGGAAGTGACACCTGCTGGTCTTATTTGGCATTAATCAAAGCCATAGAGGCAGAACGGTCTGTGAAGGGAAGAGCGGAGATTCATAATGGCCTCTGCACATTGCTGCCGTGTAAAAATTAAGCCAGCATCCCTGCAGTAATGTGGACACTGTCTGGGTGGGCCATGACCTGGATTTGCCACAGCCCCATGCTCCTTGAATGGAATGGTTTTCCTCAATTACCTCCTATCTAGGGCTTGCTAGAAAACATGATGTACTTCCATAGGGAGAGGGCAACACCAGCCAATACCTCATGGGGCAGGTGAAACAGGAAGGAATACACACCCCTCTAGCACTTAAACTGATTTTATTTGAGTGCATGACAGCAATCTGAAAGCACTGGTTTCACCTTATGTAACTCCTATAATGACCTACAAAGGACAGGTCCTCACATGTACCAAGGTCACAGCTCGGTGCCCTTCTCCTCCTGAAAATGGGATGGCCATCACCTTCCTGGTCTCCTCCCCTCTCAGGTCAATGCTCTGCTCACCAGCCTAGCCTGCCATGTCCTGGTGCCCACCAGCTGCTCCAGCCCCTTGTGCTGCCCTTGGTTGGCAGTGGGCCCTGACCTTCCCAGTTCAAGGCTGGGGAAGCTTTTGAAAGGTCAGGAGGCCATAATGGCCAGAGCCACTTGCACCCTACCAGGTCTCATTCTTCCAGGCCAGCCCTGAGCATGACATTGCGTTTCATGGCTCAGACTGCCAATTAACCCAATTAATCAGCACTCCATAGAGGTGTTAATGAGGGCTCTCCAAGTCCTTGTTTGATGGTGTGCTCTCTGCTTCTGTGAGAGAAGCAGCATTGCCTGCCCACAGTGGATGAACACCCTCGGTTTTGCCCATCTTCACAGATTACTGAGTTTTTGCTTTCGCCCAATGGATAAAGAGCCAGAAGGCCTGTGGCTGCTCTGGACTGAGGGATTTTTTACCCCCCGTGGTAAAAGTGAAAGCCAGCAAAGAAACAAAACATGGGAGCTGGGCACAATGGCAAAAGACATGTTCTATTTTGGGGAGATCAGCTGATTTTCACTAAAATAAGTGTAGGTAAGACTTGAAAGGAGAGGGTTTTTTGATGTGAAAAAAAAGTAAGGTTTCATTTTGAATGTGTTGAAATACAGTTTTTTCAGAAAGGTGGCTGCTGAAACTAGTAAAATTCAGTGAGTTTTAGCAGAGACTTAAATACATTTTTAACAACCCCACCATGCTCTGCTGGCCCCTGCAGTGTGATGGACTCCCCATTTGGCTAAAGTAAACTCAATTTAAAACCCCAAATTTAGGAAATAGGAAATATTTCTCTTGTATTGAAAAGGATGTACTGCTTTGTCTTCCCTAGAGTATGATCACAGACTAATGAACAGATCATACCTTAGAAGTGTTTTTGACATGCTCTTCTATTCTGGGATGATGGACTCCAAGGCTACGTCTTTACCGTGAAAAAAATACGTCTAAATACAGCAACAAGATTCAAGTTCAGACAGGCTTTCCTGCTGTTCTGCCACAAAATGACTAAGGAGGCAGAGGTTGTGTTCAATTTTTACAGTCTTTGCAGAATGTCATTTAAACATTATTTTGGGCTTCCAGGAAGAAGCTGCATTGTATTACCTGGGCCTCCTTGAGTGAAGCATCTCCAGTAGTGAGCAACAGAGTGAAAACTGTATTTAAACAGACATAGCATCTTTGAAGGAAGATGAAATAAAAGCACAATAAATCACATCAGGTTGGTGAGTGTGAACAACAAACACTCCCAACACCTCTCGCTCAGTATGCTGGCAGTTGTCCTGGTATGTTCTCTTCCAGCCAGCTGTTCTCTCTGCGGCAGGCAGCTCCTCATCTCTCCTCTCATTGCTTTCCCAGGTACTTTTCCTCCACTCAGGAGAACACAGCCATTGAACATGCTGACATCTTGCTTCTGTTTTCTGAAGGAAGAATGCAATTTTTTAGTGAAACACATCAATTCTATAGAGGTAAAGCTTCAAAATCAGACATACACACAGTGCTCCAGTGAAGAGTTACCATCTGCCTTCCCCTCTCCTCCTCCTCCTCAAAGGAAGGAAAAGAAATTTCACAGAAGCTTAGCTCTTCATTACCTGCTAGCTCTGACATTCATGAGATTCCCTGCAGGAATTTTCTTGCTATCCAGGCAGGATGAACACCCACAAAAATTGGCAAAGAGATGACTTTTAACTTGTTTTCAAAAGCTGACTCTATTTCGAATAGACAGTGTCTCTCTGGTATCAAATTTTGGATTTGCTTTCTCCTGAAAAATAGAAAAGGCAAGAAGCTATCCTTCTGGTTGCCTTGAATACTAGAAGAAATATAATGTTTCAAGGATCAAAAGGAAGACAATTTTATCTGTCAAAGCCTGAGGATGAAGCTCTGTTTGCCTGACAACATCTTCTAGCTGAGCGTCCTGAAAACCCAAAGCAGAGTTTGCTTTCTGTATAGTCTGCTCCCCTGCCACTACTCCAGAAACATAGGCTGCCTACAGCAGGGAACACCCAAATGGCAAATTCAGAGCTCAGCCATTGTGCCAGGAGAGAGCTGCTGTTGCTTCATCAGCCGTTAGTGTGCAGAGTTTCACATCCAAATTATATTTTCATGAAGTTGAGTCTAGATGCAGAAGAAAAAGAAAAACACAAAAAACCCTCAGTAATTTAACTGGAGTAGTGTTTTTTTTTTTAGATTGAGAAAAGTTATATCAACTCCCATTAGGGAGAGAAAAGAAAGAAAAAGAAAAAGAGAAATACTCCACCTTCCTTCAGCCAGTGTACGTTGAGTGAGGGAATTTACTTGCTTTGCAGAACTGTACAGGCAGTACAAGCCAAGACTTGAGATAGACTTGACAGATGAGTGAGAGCAAAGAAGCAGCTGGGAAAGAAAGGACTGCTATAGAAGTGTGACTGAAGAGTTACTCAGCATAGAAAGGTACACGTTCTCTACCAGTATTAATGTTTTCATTTCATTTCATTACCAAGAGTTGGATGGACATTACCAAGATTGCACAGTCTTAGAAAGGTTACTTTTGGGCTGAGTAACTCAACAGATGTGAATTTTGGAGAGCAGTGAGGTTCTGTGTTGGCACATGGGAAGTAGTATGTTTGGAAGACATCAACCCAGATCTACTTGAACCTCGTGGCAAAACAAAACTTGCTGTACAGTTCATACACTGCTGATAGGGAGTTTGTTTTTTTAGCATGGCCTCTGTCACAAGCTCAGCAAGCAAAACACAGGGAGGAACTTGCGCCCAACAGAAGTACACGACTGAGGCTTTTATTGCTTACTGCAAATTTTCCACAGCTTGAAGAAACAGTTGCAGTCTATTGCATCAATAGGAGTGCAATTTACATTGGAAAGTAAGAATATAATGTTTATTCCAGGGAATTATCTTGATGCCACTTACTACCTTGAAGATGAAGAACAATATCACTACCTTCTAGTCATAAGCAACAATTAGCAACAGCTCATCAACTTTAGTACCTCCCATGGAAGACAGGAAAACTGTGGCTTCTGTCTCTACTGTCTGCAAGTATAGAAGACAAATAAAGTCCTGAATTTTAGTAGCAGTGGGAGGGAGAGAATTCTGATATTTCCACAAATATACACTTTCCAATGCAGTGGAGGAATCAGTTACCTTCCAGTACCCCACCCTGATGAAGATTTCTTATAGGCCATGAGATTTTTACTTATGTTAGAAAGTTATGCATTTTGACAATCTTACTTCAGATTCAAGATTCAAGTGCACACAAATTCCCTGCTGGATGGAGAAACATTTCATAGCAGCAAATGGAGACCTGCTGTTGATACAGTTGAACCATCTTTTTGAAAAACGTGAGCTATCTAGCCAGAAGGCTCTCTTGCTTGTATATGTTGTGTCTACCTTGACTGTGGGTTCCAGGAGAGGGGCCAGCAAATCTGTGTCAGTGAGAATACTAACTTTCCTGCTCCTGAGCCAGTGGGGCTGTGCCAGGAAATCTTGGTGCTCAGGTCCTCCCTACCATGGTCTCAGTCCGCTTCTACTGCTCTCTGATCAGGCTTTACAATGAGTGCTGTGCAATGTCTCACCTCAGGCAACTCATCAAAGCTTCCCTCAGATTGATGGAGCTGCTGGGAAAACCAGCATTCCGCAAATTAGACACCTACTGTAAGGAACAGTGTTCCTCAGTAACAGACATGACGAATGCTATGAGTAATGACAGATGCATGTGTTAGCAGTACCTGGTATCAGCCACCTACTGGCTTGTTTCTTTTGATAGAGGCTTTTCTCCTGTGGTTACGTACGAGATGTACATCTCGCATGTGAAGGTAGTTGTCTCTGCAGAAGCAAAAGGAGCAAAAGGTAGAAGCTGTAGGGTCCTGACTGCAACTGTGAAACAGACTTGGCACTGACCATCAAGCTCTTGGCCTCAGTTTCCCCATTCATAGTATGAATAATGTCTGTGTTGTAGTCATGCTGCTAGGCAGAGTTCATTCTCACACGGTGGTGCTTTGGAGATGCCAAGCATCCCAGCAGATACCAGTGCCATCAGTGTATCGGCGTTTCTACACAGCGAACAAAAGCAGGCACAGATGCTAGCATAATGTTATGTATTTTGGTACAAAATGAAATACAAATCTTGCCTTCTGTCCCTAGATTTCTTGTCAAACATTCATTGCTTCACATGCTGAAGCACTTAGCAATACAAAGCATATTTCTATCCTACTTTATTTTATTCTTTGAACAGAACTCTGCATAAAAAAGCGAAGAACCATGATTGAATCTTAATACAAAAAAAGGGCTTAAGTTACATTCTCCTGGGATCATCTGCAGCAAAGCATAATAAGTTTCTCAATATCTGACCTAATTATATCTGTCCTTCTAAGTTTTGTTTCCCATAAGAGCTGAATGTCTATGGTTAAAAATAACGTTTGAAACTCCTCCAAGTTCCAACAGAACTTTTTCAGCCTCTCTCAAATTTAATATCTATTTTAAAGGTTTAATTTTTCACCCAACATTAAAAGTTACAATTTTGGGACTGGCATTCTACTCTGTTATCCAGCTCCTAAAAATGCTTTGGTTAGATAAACTAAAAAAATAATAATTGTATTACACATGTTTATTTCCTCGTGTTGGAGAAACACTGCCACTGTTGAAACAAGTGACATGGAGGCGTGGAAAGAAGGATGACTCCGTGATTGAAAAGAGATTGGCTGTGCTACAAATACATCTCCTAGGTCACACTGAGGTCTCTGCCACACAGCGTCGGGTGATTCTGTGATGGCTGTTGGCATGGTTTGTCCCTGGCCAGGAATGACTGAGGGTAATGTAGGTCCAGGCCCCTGCAACCTGTCAGTTCTGCTTAGAGCTCCGTATATCCATGCAAAAACTGCTGAAATTTGGATGTTAGAATCCTATGCACACTTCTCTTTCTGTTGGCCCTGTTACTGGGGGGCTGGCATGGACCCACGGCTGGGAATGCCCAGAGTTAGGATCTATGTCAGGGGACAGACAGACATTCTGGGGGTACTGAGAGCCTAGAGATAAAGCATTCACCCTGCTGACCAGCACCACAAGGCTGAATTCCTAGCATCTACCAGGGGCGGTGAAATCAGGTGCAATGTATTTAAGAATACAAGCAAAATTATAACTAATCCTGCTGCATTCCCTGTGGGTTGTTAATAAATAACATTACGCAGCAGCCTTCCATGTAAAGAGGACAGGAAGGAAAGCAGCCTGCAAACAGAGATCCAGGCAGGACTTTTGCATGGAAGATTCAAGTTCTGCTTTCTCTGTTAGAAGACTTTTTTGGCTTGCAAGGATGTGGAAGGAGAATCTGGAGATGAGAGTGAGCACTGCAGTCCCAGGCCTTGCCCAACAGTAGGAGTCCTGCACATATCACCCTGCACTGGCCAGGAAGACTCATCCCAGGGCTTCATACAAGGCATTGCCCGGCCATGGCACATGCTGGGACAGAGCTGCCTGTGCACAGCTCAGCTCTCAGAACAGCCAGCACCATCTGTAATTGCCCAGACTTCTGCTTCAGGGGTCAGATAGCCTCAAGTGTCACAGCACACAAATGGGAACTGTTGGAAGAAACAGAGCAATGTGAGGCTCAGTGTGATTTCAAAAATATGCGAGCCTGGTGTTTTCCCTAGTCTGTAACGCATGTTCAAGGCCGGGGCAGGCTGCCTGTATCCTCAGAAGAGGCGGTTTGCTGTGTGAGGGCTGTGCAGAGGGGCAGCAGCTCCTCAGCAGATTCTGCAGTGAGGAGGCCAGTTCCGTGAGCTGCCAGTGAAATCCCTGTGGGCCGTGCTGGGCTGAGCACTCCAATCTCACCGACCTTGCTGTAACCAAGAGACCCGTCTGCATGTGCGGAATGCAGCTTCGAGCTCGGCATCCTAATTTAGCAGAAGCATCTGACTTTTCCCTAAGAACTCAGAAGATAGACAGGGCCATACCTTTGCTGTGCACTGCCTGAGGACAGCATGTGGCTGCGAATCCCCAGCATCAGGAGCCACCCACCTTCTGCCATGGCGAATTGGGGCAGAGCCACCTCCAGGCTCTCAGGAGCTTGAGCAACTGAAAGTTGTTAGCTGGGGGACAAGGAGCCAGGCTCAGGCTGCTCCTGCCACAGGAAAGGGGAAGGAAGGGCAGCACTGAGGCGGAAAACCAGGCCTGCTGTCTCTGCTGCAGATAGGAAGGGAGAAGGCAGAAGTACTGCTGTGGGATGGGGCCCTGCTTTTGCCCCACACAGCAGCTGCTGCCCAGGCTGTCAGCGCTCCTCCTCCAGCAAAACCATGGTGCTACTGCTGAAAGTCTGGCTCACACCACAGAGCCCTCCTGCTCTTCCCAGTCATAGCATCTCATGGCGTTGGTCCCTGGAACAGGAAATGCTGAGCAGAGGAGAGGAGAAAGGCATGCAGCAGAGAGAGGAGTTCCTGACATGGGGTGGCAGCTGCTGCAGTTTGGGGCCAGAACATGTCAGTAATGCAAGAGAGAGACTGCAGGTGTAATACACACAAAGTGTCTCCGCTGTCTGTTTTCTAGCTGTGGGCAAGGTGTTGAACTGAGTTTTTTCTTTTAGTCATTTCTTTGGTTTGCAGAGTAAATCAGAAATTAATGATCTCAGGCACTTCTTAAAGTTTAAATAGCCTTGATTTTGTAAAACTCTTCTTCTCCATGTAGTTGTTTTCTGATAAAAGGCTGGTTTGTGAGCACTGAGCACAAGACATTCTTTGATGATATATCACAACCACTTTGGGAAGCAATAGATGCGAAAACTGCTATTATAGAAAAGCCAGTATAGATCTATTTTGATGTAAGAGGGCTACAATTTTACTGCTATTAGGCATCCCATATTGAGAAGGAACTGAGGAGAGGGCATTTTTTCCATAAAATTTTGACATTTCCAAAAGCAGGACAGTCTTACATGACGATGCTGATCTGCAGCAATCGATTGATGCACACAAACGTTCACTCCCTTCTAGCAGGAATGTCAGAAACTCATTTCTAAATTGAGCACTTGCACCTGCATGTGTAATACTCCAAACATAGTAGGCACTTCTGCCTGTTTTCCTATGTTTGACTTCGAAAATCTGTTCCTCACTAGATTGAACTCAATTACTTCCCAAATATCCTCTTAAATCCCAGTTTTCTTGTGATGTTCATCGAGGGTTTCTGAAGGATCAGTTCCACTGTTATGTTTTCCAATGTTATTTGTTTTAATTGTTCCATAACATTTTTCTGTCCTCCTTTTCATTTATATCTGATCCCCCAGTAAACTTTTATAATCCTGATATGCTGTTTTCATATTTTCTCCAACAATCTCTTTGAAGAGACCAGACAAGATAGACCATCCCTGGAGTGATGTAAAACATTTCCATAATGTGGACATTACAAGTGCCAAGAAATTCCTGCCTTAGTGTGAGCATTTCCATCCTGCATTCACATACATCAGCAGCAGCCGGGGAGCGGTCTGCCCTCGCTGAAACTCCTCGCTCCCATAGAGGCATTCTTGCCCCTCGAGGTCACAGCATCTGCCTCTGCCAGTCCCAGCAAAGGGCTCTCCACCCCCAGATGTCACCTGCCAAGAGCCCATCACAACAGATTCTTTTCAGCAAACAATTGGGATGGCCGCTCTTGGTTTATTTTTGTGGCTAAATAGTGTCCAGATGCCTCTTTTCAAAGAATGGTATTCTTTTTATTTGGCGTCCAAGCAAGACCAAAGCAAAGAAGGTCTAAGCAGAGAGGCATAGAAATGGGATCCTCTCCCATGGCAATTCTGGATTTCCAGCAGAGCTGCTCCTCAGTTGCTATAACAGCACTTACACAATTACTGTTCCTCTGCTCCACCCTCTAAGGAGATTGCAGCCACCTGAGCTCAGCACCCTGCCTACCTCATGCGCAAGGGCTGCACACAGAGCAAAGGGCTGTTGTTGTGCCGTGGGGATGGGGAGAACCATATAGAGCCCCTTCCTGGGAAGGTACCTCTCTTCTTTCCCTCTCAAGAGGAGAGGAGAAGAGAAAGTATCAGGCAGGGCACACTGCAGTGGTGCCTTGACGCACAGTCAAGATGTGAAAGCAGATGTAAGGCCTTGCAGCCCATCACAAAGCTGGCTAGGAAACAAGGGTCTGCCCAAGGTGCCCTTTGCAGCCCACCGACCCTATGCAGAACAGGGGTCCTCCTGTTTCCAGCTGCTGTGGGTTTGGCTGAAGGGAATGAACATTTGTTCTCCTACCTCTATTTGTGAGAGCGTTCAAACACAAAAGTTAAAGCCAGGCTTATCCTCTCTTTTCTTTACATAAAAGCTCCCACTCAAAGCAGACGTGTTCTGCAAACTATTATCTTCTATATTGTTCAGAGTGGTTCTAATTTTTCCCACGTTGCTCAAAGCTCTATCCTCAGGTGACTGTTCTCTGAGCTTCTGCAGCTCTGCTTCACTTTTCAAATAAGATTTATCCATTAAAAAACAATTCCACTGCTTTTTTGCAGCTATCATTTTGTCACATATGGAATTATTCAATAAATGCTTTTAATAGCAACATTTCTAGGCTTTGTTTGTTGAGAGCTGTCAGGCTTTTACAAGCCAGGGTTGGCACAGGAGCTGAATAGCCTCTTTGTACCCAGGAGAGTTCCCTGCTGGTCATGACAGAGGTCCTGCACACACAACTAAATGAAAGGAAATTACAAATATGAGTATCTACATAATTCACAGCCGGTAAATGGTGCAGAATATCAGGTTTCCAGCAACATCCGGACCTCGGCAAATCTTTTAATAAAAGCTGAGATGTGGGATTTTAATCTGCAATTCCAAGATTCACCCAAAGATCTAAAAGCCTAACAGAAGTGTGGGAGGGGGGAACCATATAAAGGCCTTCAGGAAGAGCAATTTCAGCCTATCCAAGGGCACTGGGAAATAACAGCTGACAGGACAGAAAGGAGAGGTCAAGACCAGTATGCCAAAAATCTTGGGTTCCTTGGGTCAGCCTGGAGTCATGTAGCACAGCACTGCTCCTGTCCATCTGCCGCCAGCTCGGAGCACGGCCCTGCAGCACTCTGGTCTCAGTGTGTGTGGCACCCACCCCAGCAGGAGCTCACTCACGTGTCTGCTGAGGAGCTGTAAAAGAAGGTTGCTGTGAAAGGGAGCCAGCCTCTTCCTTTGTTCTGTTTTCCCCATCCCTTGCTTTTTCTGAGTTCTTCAGATGTCCGTTGCTAAATCCTTGGCCCAAATTCCCCTGCTTGAAAGTGGTGCAGCACTAAGTTTTCCTATGGTGAAATGAAAAGAGAAAAGAGAATGTATTGCCTAACACACTTTTGTAGGTTTCCTAAAATTATCAACTGCTTTTGGTGCCTCTTTGGCCTTTCTTCGATGAAAAGTTTAATACATTCAGACATCGGGAGGATCTGTTTTTGCTCCTCACCCTCCATAGTCCCCCTCAGTGCCACAAGGACTTACTAATTACATTCTCTCAGTACCCTGTTATCTCCCCCTGACTCTCTCTCTTCTGTGCTGCAGCTTGTGTACATTGTCGAGAGGAATCAGAAAGAGCAAAGAACCAAATAAAAAGATCCCTCCAGGAATACAGCGTTCGATTATACAAAGAAAACCCACAGTCAGATTGCTCATCCTTATTTCCCAGAGGAAGCCTCAAATGTCTTTGTTCCTTGGCTTTTTTAAAAAGAATTTCCTTTTCTGGTAAAATCATTTTACCTGTGAACTCCAGGCCAGGCTTTTGGTCACATTTACCCACTCTCCCATTACAGCTTCACACCTCATTCTGCCCCTCACAAACAGCTTTGGGTTGCTTTGTGCCCAGGCTCCAGGACCTTCCTTCCATCAGCTCTGGAGTTCCGGGGGGAGCCCAGCTTCACACAGCAGGTTTTTCTCACCAATGACAAAGTGCCATAAATGCATTCCTGCTGATAAAAGTGATGATGAGATCCCCAGAGAGGTCAGGAAAGGAACGAGCGTGGGGCCCAAAGTCCCCTCTCATCTCTCACAGTGCTCTACCTGCTTCACAGACAAAGAGCATCTTCTGCTCCCAGGGTTCAGCAAGAGCCATCCTCCTCACTGCCAAAGTTAATATAAATAACTAACTGCATAACTCTCAGACATATAAACGAGAAGTACAGTAGCATACATAATTCACGCATTACAAGCTGCTTTCCTGAAATCCACAATTCCTATTACTCAAATCATGTTATATGTGTTTTGATATGTACAGTATTTTGCTTTCATGTAAAAGCTGTAAAATGGAGGCAAAAAAATCTATCTACCCTTACACTTTTTGCTGGGAATCTGGTCTTACCTCTGGTTTGCTGCCCTCCCAGCTGTCTGGGAATTGTACTGTTTACATTGGAGCTCTTCCAAGATTAATGGCATCATCTGTACAGTTTTAAAAGCTTAATCTTGCTAAATCTCTTTGTATTGAGAATTGATTGTGCCTGATCTTCATTATTTTAATTGTTTAATGTATTATAATTAAGGCTCAATTAGACCCAACAGATCTCAATTCAGCTCTCCATCCGTCACATCCATCTGCAAGCTGCAGGAAGCACAAGACAAGAAGAGTTGATCCCATGCTGGTTATTCATTCCAGAGACCAGGTACTATTTTTTGCCACTGACTTATGTTTAACTGCAGGCAAGTCATCTGTCTTTCTGCTTCTCCAGGGGCCTCCAGCTTGCTGTGCTGACAGCCTAACTGGGTCTCAGTACAGGCTGACATCTTTACACACAGTATTATGGCAATAACAATGACAACCCACACCCCTCCCCGTATGCAGCTGCCAACTAACTGGAGCAGGCTCCTGTTTATGTGCAGTACAGGAAGAAAGACCCCAGACACGGAAGCTTCTAAGTATGCATGTAGCTTCAGCATCAAGCACAGACCTTTCCCTTCCCTTCCCTTCCCTTCCCTTCCCTTCCCTTCCCTTCCCTTCTCTTCCCTTCCCTTCCCTTCCCTTCCCTTCCCTTCCCTTCCCTTCCCTTCCCTTCCCTTCCCTTCCCTTCCCTTCCCTTCCCTTCCCTTCCCTTCCCTTCCCTTCCCTTCCCTTCCCTTCCCTTCCCTTCCCTTCCCTTCCCTTCCCTTCCCTTCCCTTCCCTTCCCTTCCCTTCCCTTCCCTTCCCTTCCCTTCCCTTCCCTTCCCTTCCCTTCCCTTCCCTTCCCACCTCTTATCAAATTCTGGAAAGATTTTGGTGCAGGCACGTGTAGACAGATCCTTTCTGCCTTCCCTGCATGCTGCAGCCCCATCACAGTCATGCCAGCCATATCCTGAGCATGCTACTGCTGCCAGTTCCACTGCACAAACTCAGTAGTGCAGCCTCAGTCCTGCTGCAACCTGGCACCAGGGAGAGAGCCCCTCTTTGCCTGGAGTTAAGTGCCAGATGCTTCTTCTGGAGTGAGCTGTGAGAAGAGCAAGTGGGTGTCGCATTTTCCTTTCAAACAGTGAAGAAATTCCATAGAATTGTAAATTCATAGAATGGCTTAGAATGGAAGGGATTCGAAGATCTTCCAGTTCCAATCTCCTACTGTGGGCAGGGTTGCCACACACTAGATGAGGTTGCCCAGGGCTCCATTCAGCTTGGCCTTAGATGCCTTCAGAAATTTGCCTGTCTTCTCTTCCCTATTACCTTAACTCAGCTCTTCAATAAGCATTTACCCAGAATGTGTTAGACTCAGATTCAATTCACTCCATCTTACAGAAGGAAATCCATTTCTATAGGGTACACTCTTGGCACTGGGCTCCACAAGGAGACCTTTAGCTAAAATTTGATAGGACAAGGGGTTCTGCCCTCAAGTCGTGACAGGGGAGGTTCAGGTTGGGTATCGGGAAAAAACTATTCTCAGAAAGAGTAGTGAGGCATTGGCACAGGCTGCCCAGGGAGGTGGTGGAGTCACCACCCCTGGAGGTGTTCGAGAGACGTGGAGATGTGGCACTGAGCGACGTGGTCAGTGGGCAGGGTGGGAATGGGTCAATGGTTGGGTGAGGTGACCTTCCTGATCTTTCCCAAACCAAATGATTCTATGATTCTATATTTGTACAAAATAGAATATCGAAAGCAGAATATCGATTGGTGAGATCAATCATGGATGCTGGCCAGGGTTACAACCTCGTGGTGTCTTATTCAGTGAACACTATTGTACAAATCAAATAAGTTCTGGTTAGCTTTCCAAGGAATATCAGCATTCCATAGCACCTTCCTAGAATCAGTAAACAGTACGGAGAAAGACTGAAACCAACATACAGATGACAAATCAAACCTTAATCCATCATAAAAACAAGATGGGAAGAGACAAAGAGATGCAGAAATCTGCCATTTTCACCTCCACACAAAAAACACACATGGCAGTGCCTCCCCAGCCTGATGAAAGATGTTCCCTTCAGCACTGCAGCCAGCACCATGTGTGAGGCTGCTCACTTGAGGAACGTGTGCTCCAGAGAAGATGCAAGAGGTGTGATGCTGGAGGAGCACATGCAGTTGATTCAGAAAGAAGCACACACAGAATGAATGGGTAAGTTACAGAATGAGCACCTGCTAGCTCTGCACTGTTCACAAGCCCTGTTTTTGCAGTGTCAGTGCAGACTCATCAGTCAGCCTTCTCGGAAAACACTTCAGAGAGATTCATTGAAGATTCTCCCCTCAAATTGCAAACAAAAAATGCATCTTCCCTACAAAGCCCTTTGAAACAGCCACAGAAAAGGAAGATTTTTAGCAAACATGGAGATAAAATTTCCGTCAGAATTTACAATTTTAAGGCTCTAGGAGAATAAATATATAAATAAACAAACAAATAATATGACTTCTTTAAATCTTTTCAAACATTTACACATAAATAGTCTATTAGAAAAACGTAATCAAAATAATATACTGCATATTTTCGTAGCCTTATCTGGGGATCCTTTTCTATTCCCCAAATAACACATAGGGTCATTTTTTAGGTAGATAAACATTTATTTTTGTAATTTATTTTTTCCTCCGAAGAAAAGGCAGTTTCAAATTACACGCACAACAGACTCCTTAATTTGAAGTGGTTTTCAGAACTGCAAAATATAATCGGAGAGTTTGCAGCAGTGAGGCCAGCAGTTCGCACAGCCAGCCCTGAGCACAGGCCAGCCGATGAGTTGCTCTTTGTTCTGCTGTCGGCTGAGCTGCTCAGCATTTCTGACTCAGGTGGGCAGAACGCCGCACACCCCAGTAGCCATGACCACAGACTGGGAGGGACCCAGAGGGAGCTATTGTTGCCAAGGGAGCATTTGTCAGAGCAAGAAGGCTGGCTGGGGAAGGGAGGAGCAGCCCAAAAGCACCCAGCGATGCTGGGCTGTGGGAGGAAGATCATGGGGGGGAGGGGGGAGTTTTTGGTTGATGCATAAACACCAAGACATAGAAAAAGGGAGCTGAATGCGGCATATAGCCAAATGCATGTTTTGCACAGCTCTCTGAACATCCCCCTTCAGCTGCTGTTTCTTAGGTGAGGTCACCTTGGAGAGGTGACACTCCGTAGATGTAAACTGTTCTGTGAATGCAGGAGTGGTGCCAGGGGCTGTGAGAAGGGCATGCCTAGCAAACTCACAAATCCCGCACTGTGCAAGTGGCAGCAAAGGTCTTCAACTGACAGCTGAGGTACAGGGATGGCAGCCTATTTTCTCCCCGAGAATCTGGAGGAAAAGTGTTCCCCAAATTTGTGTCTGCCTGTTTTAGGGGAAGGTCTGGCATTGCAGACCGAGTACACATGCACCAAGAGCTTAAATCTTTCAGAAGAAATCAAACTCTTAACCACATTTGTTTTATCACCACCTATATCTGTAGGAGACAAAATAACCAGCCTGGAGAACTTCTTGTTTTGTCATACAATCATAGAATCCTTAGAGCTGGAAGGGACCTCTGAAGGCCATCTAGTCCAACTCCCCTGCAATGAACAGGGACACCACAGCTAGATCAGGCTGCCCAGGGCCTGATCCAGCCTCATTTTGAAAGTCTCCAGGGATGGGGCATCAACCAACATCTCTGGGCGAATAGTTCCAATGCCTCACCACCCTCTGTAAAAGACTTTTTCCTTACGTCTAACCTAAATCTACCCTCTTTGAGCATGAATCCATTTTCCCTTGTTCTATCACCACAGACCCTGCTACGACTTGGTGGTAATAGTTGTATGTTTGGTGCTAAATAGCTGTTATACAGCTAACAGCTGTTCTGTTTGGTGCTAAATAGCTGTAGCATAGACAGCACTGACTCGTGGATTCAAGTACACTCCACAGAGCACA